GTTGGGGGCTTGTATACAACTATTTATGGTTTATGTATGTCACTACCACAAGGGAGAACCACCTTTGAACTAAGCAAAGCAACTAATGTAACGTGTCACGGTATCTCTTCACGCATTCGGTGGCGGCGGCATGCCGTGAGACAATACTAACAAAACTACAAAAGTTATTTTCATTTTTCGTTAATAAAAATTTCATGAAAAATTGGTGAGATTTCCCTGATTTTTTTTTTTGTTATTTCGAGTTTTACGTCGCATCGACGTTCAGGTCATTAGCGACGACTAGGTCTTATTTTCTTCGTTTCTATCCGATTATATGTTATGGTATAGATGTTGATGTCCCTTATAAATAGTTTAAGGTATTTTCTACGAGTTTCTGTGACGTCAAGGCCGCTGTCGATGTTATTTCATATTTTTGCTTTGGGTGTGGTATCTTCTTCATTCCAATAGTAGATGGTTGGTCGATATAATTTGCTTACAGACGTTACACATTGGTGGTTCTGTTTTTTTTATTAGGTACTCATGTGTAAGTTTGCAGCGTCCTGTTCTAAATCTGGTCATGATTATTCTGTCTTTCCTTTTCACATTGCTCCTAGGCGTTGTTTGGTAGAAGTCTTGAGTTACGTCATGTGTTTTTGCTTTTTAGAGGTGCTCCATATATTCCATGTTTGTTATTCGATATGGTGTAATGCAACAATAAAGTCTTGGTGTGGAATTCGTCTCCGAATGTCATCTGATATGAGTAATGTAACTTCTTTGGCGGCTGTGTCAGCCTTCTCATTTCCCTTAATTCCCTGGTGAGATGGAACCCAGGCAAGATTACATGTTTACCATTATTGACGACGTCCGTATAAACATATTGTATGTTTAGGATTCCTTCATGTTTGGTTTCACGATTTATGTTTTCTATTGCCTTGGTTACGCTCATAGAATCTATAAGAATCATGGAAAGTTGGACGTTGTTATCTCGTATATGATTAAAAGCTTCGAGAACCACACAAGCTTCTGCTGTAAAAAATGGATGTGGCTTTTGGTAGATGAAGTTTTATTGATCGTGTTGTCGCAGATGATAGCAATTCCGACTCCCTGGTCAGTTTTTGATGCATCGGTGTATATTTCTTGACGATTTGGGTATTTATTGCTTAGTTGTTGAAAAATTAAATCTGTGTTCTATGCTACTGTTCGACCGTACCGAGGACTCGAACAATGGAGCCCTACCATATTCACAAATAATATATTTTTAAATCTGTGTTCTATGCTACTGTTCGACCGTACCGAGGACTCGAACAATGGAGCCTTACCATATTCACAAATAATATATTTTCCGTAAATTGGTCTCTCTCCTCGCCATCAGCAAATTG